GGACACAAACCTTCAAAACAAGTAGCAGGGACGCATACTCGCAAGCAGATTTAAAACGCAGCTGTGCCTTTGCGTTAATAGATGGCAGCAGGTTAACGCGGGTCCAACAAAGTGCGAGAGAGTGGGCTATCTATACTTGTCTTTATCTATGGTAAAAGTGACATCAACAGTGAACACAAAAAGTTAATCGGATGTAAAAAAATTAATGATTAGAATTTTCAATTGTCTGTTATACAGACAAAACAATGTTCTTTCAGTTCTATTGCAGCCACTTGTATTTAACGGTATATTCAGTTCAAGTCAGCAGCCACCAAATTTGTAATTTGACTTTCGTTAATTAATATACAATGTTTATTTTACACTTTTTAAACATTTTTTCTTCCGCACATGCAGTGCAACCTGCCTTCCCCGCTATAACCTCACTTCGCCACGTTTTGATTCACTTAAGCCTTCCTACGTTTGTTCTTTTTTTACAGTTTTAAACCGCTCAACCTCCTAATTCTATTTTCCGTTAACAGTGCTCCTTATGAGGACAGTCATTCAAGCATGCCCTATCCGGACTCTCCTTTTGACGCGACTTTTAACCCAGACATCATTACCAGTTTAAAACAGTATAGTGAGTCGTGTAGTGAAGTGAATTTAAGTGAAACTTTGAAGTGGCTTTGTACCACCCCAAAAGTAACCTCCTACCGGGTAAACACATTGAAGACGGACAGGAAGATTGTTAAAGAGCTAATCCAGGAACAGTTGAATGCAGAGGCTGGTGCCTATGGATTCCGAGCTGAATACTCTGACTTCCTGCCCAATGTTATAGTTATAAATCACATCGATGTAAACCATGGAAAACTCCATAAACTTCCAAGCGAGGTCATGGTCGATGTGGATTGTGCAGCTGCAGTCCTTAGAGGAGCCCACATTTACGCTCCTGGAGTGCTGTCAATGATCTCAGGAACTTTAATAGGCGATAAAGTGAGCATTTATGCAGATTTGAACCGAAAGTGCAAAAAGGGCCTACTGAAGATTTTTCCGGATAACGGAAAAGTTTTCCTGGGAAATGGAGTGGTGAAAATGACCAGATCCATGCTGTTTGGAGACAATCTAGCTCCTGAAGGAGTGGCTGTTGGAGTCACTGAAACCATATCCGGCTGTCCGTCAATAGGTGACGCATTTCTACCTTCAGGTTTTGCAATGCTACAAAATGTACCTTCAATCATGTGCGTCAATGCACTTGATCCGCAGAAGAACGATCTGGTCCTGGACATGTGCGCCTCGCCGGGCAATAAAACCACTCACATCGCCGCCCTTATGGAAAATCAGGGAACTCTAATCGCCATTGATAAAACTGCAGGCAAAGTTGCGCAACTGAGAAAAACATGCCAAATATTTGCTGCCAAACTGCGAATATTTCAAGCCGATTCCTCAAAAATCGTCGTCGAAGACCCTGGGCAAACTGCAGCTAATGTAGACCAAGGACCTCCATTTCTGCCGGAAACTTTCGACAAAATCCTCTTGGATGCTCCTTGTAGTGTGTTAGGAAAACGACCGCAATTTCACAACAGAGTAACTGAAAAAGTTTTAAAGTCTTATGTGCCTTTGCAAAGGAAATTGTTCACTTCTGCAGTCAGCTTGCTGAAGCCCAAAGGCCGTTTAGTGTATAGCACATGCACCATCACTTTAGCTGAAAACGAAGGAATTGTAGAATGGGCCCTGAGAACTTTCAAGTGTTTGTGTTTGGTGAACATTGCCCAACATTTTGGAAGCCCTGGCTGGCCTGGAACCACTTTAACTGAAGCCCAAAGAGCCAAAGTGCAAAGATTTGGGCCCAATCTCGATCCGGACACTGTAGGCTTTTTTATAGCGTGTTTTGAAAAAAACTGATGCATATTAAAAATAAGAGTTTTTGTTTTGCTTTCGCCCACATTGTGAGGAACTCGATGGTATCAGGAACAGTGAGGAAATTGCTTTAGGTGCTAGTGAGGCACGTGTAAGCCCATAGCTGTTTGTTGCAGCACGTTTACCTCATCATTTAACAAAAAACTGTATCGATTTCACTTTGTTTTATCTTAATTGGTTTTTATCGGTTGCTGTTTATAGAAGGGCACGCATTTAGGTTGATAAGAGAGATAATCATGATTGCGGTTACTAAAGTTGTAAGTTGGTGTTAGTCCAAGAGTTTCAGGAAGAAAAACGTTGCAAGAAGTTGATGTAGCTGATTTAATTTAAAACATGTGAAAAAATAAAGAATTCTAATGGGGCTTTTAGGTGTAATTCTTGTCTTAAATCAACTTTTTAAACACGTTTATCATAAAGTTAATTTTCAATCAATTAGTTTGTAGAACTTTAACTGTATATTAAGGGCAAAAATTAAACATTATTTACATGCCGCTGACGCTTTGGGAAATATAGTATATTCAAATGAAAAAAAAACTAGTTTTAAGCTCAGTGTTGTTACCAAATCTGCAGACATCAGAAGCAGGAAAAGAAAAACAAAGCAAGAAAAATTGACGAAAGCTTTGAAACACAGTCTCAGCTTGAAAGTTGTACTTAAAACTTTGCTAACAACACTAATCGAAGCCCATTTAATACTAAGGCTTTAAAGAATTTTCTTCTACGAACAAACATTTGGGTGTTTAAATTATTGTCCTAAAAAACGCTAGAAGAAAATGTACAAAGACACTGAATTAAATAAAATTTATATTTTATTAAATTACTTCTGCTCTTGTACTAAAACTAGGCATCCCTACAATGGGTACTGGGTACTCACGTTTTGGGAACCAAACAATTCATATGATTAACAAGCCGCAGTCGCTTTTGCACGCTGTTCGCTCGTGAAGTACGATGATCGTACTTCAGCTAGCATTTCCGTATTTTTCCACCATTATGTTACCATTATAGTTGTTTTCCGTTGTGTCCGACATCTCGTAATTAAACCACAGTGAAAATTTTAGTCATATTTTACAACTTAAGTACTTATGGTCTGTGATATTTTGCAAGCAAATTTGCATTCAGGGAACCGATTTAAGGTAAGGTAAGTTTGGCGGTACTGTTGGTAGTAAATAGGTTTTGGTTTATAACGCTTTTGTTATGAAAATTGCACATTGTTTAAGCTAGTTAATGGGTTAATTTTATATTGTTTTTAACTATTGAAGAACACGTGCGGATTTCGTCAACCGTAGTTCTTTTGTATATTTTTACGTAGAAACCGCAAGGAAATCCGTTCGAAGATACAGGAAATTGCATACGGAAATCTCAGCATTCACATTTAAAACGCCATTTACCATAAATTAAATTCGAAGCAGACAAATTCTTTTGTTAGCGAATTTGCATATGGAACTATGCATAGGTCAGTCACTCAGCTGACTCGTGGTCAATATTATCATTCAGCCTCTGCAAAAGATGTAACTGTACATGAAGAGAAAGCAATTCTGCCAATTTTTTGGCCGAATAATGGCCATGGCGAGATATTGCAAAAAACCAGTCTGGTTTCACGATTTTTGTACCAAGAAGCGCCAATTATAGCTTTAATATTTACGCTTTGAAGCCAATTTTTTTGCATTCAACTAGAAGTTACACTAGATCGGAAAATAATTTCAATATCTCTAATCTATTTCCTAAGTAATCATGTTTTCCTCGAATGGAACCAAAATCCCAGAAATACATCTAGCCAATTATCTTTAAAAATGTAATGTTCACTGCACAGAACACTTCATATCCTGATAAATATTTATCTATGTAAATGAATCCACAAAGTAACTGAACGTTTGATAATTAAAACGTTTTATGCGAAACACTGGTGAAAACCTGTAATATAAATTTTTTTCTGCTTATTCAGCAGGTTCAGCGGTAAAAGTTTTCTTGTACAGGGTATGAAAAAAATTCTACCATATTCCAGAGTAGCGTTGATCAACTTCACATCGTTTAGCTCAACTAAAGTATATTCTTTGTTCTTCCATTTTGATTCGAGCTTTTTGGGTGTATACAGGGTGTCCCGTAAGCACATGATCAAAAGGGTACTGCGATATTCTTTGAATCAAAGGAAGAGACGATCTGACTTAACTTTTATTAACAAAAAATGTCTGCATCCTCTGCTATTGATGGTCAAAGTTCTTCAAAAAATTTATCTTTTTTGAACTATCAGGAGAATGGTACGATGTATTTTGGTGGAACTCGCTGTTAATGTGTTCTTATGTAAGACTCATATTTTGATGAAACAATCGACTTTATCCGTTTTGGACAAGTGGTGAATTCTTGAGCGTTGTGGTACAAAAACTACCAGAACTTTTCATTTGGTGGATGAAATCAACTTTTTTTTTTTTTTTTGGTTTATTGACTAATCATTTATTCATAATTTTATGCTCTTTGTAAAATCTTGTCGCATTCATAGTTTTTGCGCAAAAAAAATATGTCTGTCGTCTAGCCACTTAACAAAACAATGCAATTACAAGACACATTAACTGCAAATATGCGCCGCGTAAACGCGTAAGCTTTCATGCAAGTTGTCTTCACAAAACCTCAATACTTGACCATGGCGGTCACTTCTTCATTAGAAAAGGTCATTCAAAACGAATTTGTGAGATTGATTGACAATTAATGTATACCTCGTATCACGATATTTACACTTAATGTCGAACATTGTTAAGTGGCAAGAAAACAGAATTTTTTTCTCGCAAAAACTATGAAAAGAGAAAAATATGAGTCTTACATAAGAACACATTAACAGCGAGTTTCACCAAAATACATCGTACCATTCTCCTGATAGTTCAAAAAAGATGTTTTTTTGAAGAACTTTTACCATCAATAGCAAAGGAACCAGATATTTTTTATTAATAAAAGTTAGGTCAGATCGTCTTCTTTTGATCCAAATAGTAACGCACTACCATGACCATTTGATCATGTGCTTACAGGACACCCTGTATAATACACAAATTCGACTGACGGTTTGTCAATCCTTACAGTTTCGTTTAACTTTCTGCTCGTTTTTAGTTGCATTCATCTTTAGCATTTCTTTTTTTAATCCTTATTTTTCTGCTATAATTTTGCGATGTCTCATACTAAATTTATATTGATTTTCAGATAAAACCATTTTTTTTGGTACGTTTTTTAGAATTGGAATTATATTCTGAAATATTTGATTTATTCCGTTATAAAGGTTCGTAGTGGCTTGAACCTTTTGACATGGGTTTGTCCAGGTTTTTGAAATTTAACTACTTTATGTTCATATTGACAAAACTCTTGAACATGGACCTGAAAGCACTATAAATCACCCTCTCCAACTTCAGGTTTGGCTGGTTTTTATTAGCGATGGGAACTATCTAACTAAATAACTATCGAATTATTCGATAGTTGGAATTTATTTGAATTATTCGAAAGCGATGGAAGCCATCGAATTATTCGATAGTTTTAAGTAGTTAATAAGTTAATTTGAAACGTAATTCATTTTGGTTGTTCGATAGCAGTGTTTTATTCATTTGTTTTATAACTATTATCGGATAATCCGATAGCAATTATTTGCAGTGATGAGACCTATCGAATTATTTGATAGTTGTAATTTAAAATTTAATTCATTTGAATTAGTCGATAGCAGTGTTTTATTCATAGGATAATCTGATAGCAATAATTCCATTGCAATGAACGAATTCAAATTTTAAATAAAATAATTTTTCACTTTTTAAGCAAATATATTCAATATTAATTTATTAAAATTGGTTGTTTGTTCAAAAATTCAATATATTTTTTTGGAAAACGTTTATAGTAAATTGTATTCATTTTCATCATTAACTATTTTTTTTGCCAAAATGGCCTTTACAACTTTCCAATTTTTATATCCAATTTCTCCAAAATCTTTCTTGGAATATGAAAAACGCATGCCCCCGAAATTCCGTTTTCTTTCGTCTTGGGAGACCCCGGGTGGTGTGTATTAAACATCCTAACAATGGCTTGAATAATTTCACGCTGATGAGATTTATAGGTATAAATCGCATCAGTGTGTGTAACATATGTTACTAGAGAATAGACCGAACCTGCCGAAATGTGTCTTTACCTTACGTCTTACAGAAATTCCTAAAAAACTCATAAATTTTGAGCTGGCAAATTGCTTCAAATCAACCTATTCAGACTCGACCAGAAACAGATAAATGTGTTCAACAGTTCTACACACCATACGATTTGCAGGAAATTGGGTTTCGATCACTAAAATTCTATTTATATTGTATTTATATCATGTCGTATTGGCATCGTGATAATAAGTCAGCTTATGGTCAAATAGTACAAGATGCATCTCGAATCTGAAAGATGCATTTGATGTCGCTGCGTTACTTTTTTATGAATAAAGTACAGCACTAAATTAGTTCATACTAGCCAGAAACCTGAATTTTTTAAAAATATATAAGTTTGTAATTTGTAACTGACCTACACTGCACGCGATAGTTCGCACTATTCAATGAATTAATTCATTCGAATGTTTATATTCGATAGTTGCAATCATTCATTTAGTAATTGTTCGATAGTCGAAATCATTCGATAGTGTCCATCACTAGTTTTCATTGCTTAAAGCAAAGCCATTCCAAAGCTATAAAAGTATTCAAGAATGTCTTTTGTGATCGGATGTAGCGTGTTCTAAAAGTGATCAGTAAAATTCTGATCAATAAAAAAATCAATGTTCAAGTCCAGCGAGCCAAAAATGGAAATCGACTTATAATGGAACCCCAATTTAATACAACCTTAATTTCTAAAGTTACAAATAGAGGATGGCATGTCATGAGCATTATGCTATACATAGATTGAATTCTATTATCCGAATGGCTTCTCTAATAACCCATTTCTAATGTAAATCACAATTTTTAGTATCATCTAAGCATGGGTTTTATCAATTTTTATGTGCGACTTCAAGTTATCTATTAAGCGATTTAAACCGACTGGTTCATTAATCCCATTTCATCCAAATCACGTGAATTGATAAAACTTTTGTTATTAAAATCACGAGCTTTGATTTGGCAAAGCCGTAATTATCAGACTTAAATTAACGAAGCTGGAATTGTTCTTAGGCGTATGTGCCAATAAACACGGCCAGTCACAATAGCAATTACAAATTTGCTAAATTTCACAATATTGCCGATGTCAAGGATTAATTAATCGGACAGTTTTATAAATGACCCTAATTTAGATTGCATTTAACAAGCAACCAATTTTGGAAGTAAATGTATTGAAAATAAAGAAAACCTCCAGCCAGGAAGCACTCGGTATGAACATACACGCACTTAATAGGTTGCTTCGAGTATATTCAAAGACTAAAAATTAACTAAAACATTTAGATTTATGCACTTCCCGTTTCGAATTATGCAGGAAATCCCCAGTGAGTGTGATGTTTCCAGATAAGTTCCAAACGCCCATTATTTTTAATTTATGTTGTCATTTAGCTCATCAGCAATGAATAGCTCAATAAAACCGCATATATCAAACTTTTTATTTGCAGTATAATTAAAACGATCGGGTAAATTGCTGTTGCAATTATTAAAATGTTTCCACGCTGGTTAAGACCCGAATGATTAGCGGATTCAAGTGTAAATTAGGATGTTGATCAAAACTGTTGAAACTTTTATTAGCAACATACCTCGACAGTGATGACGAGCATAGTTATAAAACATTTTGTGTAAACGTTTCATATATTTGTTATGTTATATTTTTTATAGCTCTAGTGTGAATCGTTGCAGATTTAACAAGAGAATTCAATATAGATTTTTTAAAATTAATTTACCTTATTCATTTCTCGTTGTAAAACCGAACAATTCTGTTAGTTTTATTGTTAGCGAAATTTGTTATTTGAGTAAAATGTTTATTCTTCTTCATTTCAATGCTTTCAAAATGTATTTCCTGAAATTTGTGTTTTAATTTGGTGAAGTTTAGTATCGGCAGAAAATTTCTATTTTATTTTTTATGCACGTTAATATTAGTTTCTTTCACATTCAGTGATTTACTATTTAACTTTCATACGCTTATGAAAATTTTTGCACATATTTGTTCCATTTATTC